AACTGTTAATAAGAGAGAGGCTTCTAACTTTGAACCTGCAATACTCAATGTTTATAGCTATCCCTACAAACTTTTATAATAGTTACCGTGAAAAAGTCGGATCAATACGCAAGTTTTATTAAGATTGAAATTATTATAAATTAGTTATATTGTCCAGCAGTTGTCGTGTGATAATTATCAGCGCGCACTGTACTATATGTAATTGATTAACTTTTATATGCATATACGTACTTAAATTGAATAGTGCAATTTTTTATAAGCTCCACACTCAACTTTGCCTTGTCTTCTGGGTATAAACCATGTAATATTTAGTTTACGATCTCTTTGCGCTCTTCAGTGCAAAGAATTTTCCTGCAAAAATTATTATACTGCATAAATATAACGAAAGCTAGGTTATAAAATTTTATGCATCTTTGAGGTGAAACTTAATACCAGACCACAAAATTACAATTTAAGAGATACCATTTCTCATATTTACCTGAAACCAGACAAAATTTTCCAGTTTTATAAACGCAAATCCATTTTTCCAATAAAGGCTCGTAAATAAAGTTCTTCTTTCAAAAACTGGTTTTTGAAATAAACTAAGCAGTAAAAACATTTTCTGTACTATACCTACTGGATCATTAACACTTGACACAAGTAGGTGACCCTTTTATTAAACACTATCCCCCTCTACAAACAAGTATGTAAACTACCACAGCGAATACTTTCCCGAAACAAAAATGGAGCTATACCTCCTACTTCTGCCAACCTATTTGGGACTTTAAACTGTTCTAACCCTTCTAAAAACTAAATTGCTTCAAAATGGGGGCTTAAAAAAAAGCTACACGAATTGCCTTGCAGAGATCATGTAATGAGAAATTTTATTGCAGACTGCAGGAGTCAGAACTTTAAACTCGAAAGTTAATCTCAAACCAATGACCCCCTTGAGTACCATTCGACACTAACAAATTAATAAAATTTTTCTATTTTATTTATGTTGGAAATTACCATAATAGCTGAGTTCTCTATTTAAACAGAGAAAGATGATCGGAGTAAATTAATAAAGGCGCTCTGCTAAATATAGTTATATTTAGGTAGTCTTACTCTAATCAATGCTTTCAATTTAATGAAAAACGATAGGGAATAAGGTCTTAACTTCTAATAGTACTAACAGACTTCTAGTAGATGAATACTACAACAGTACTATTTAACGACTGGCGCGATATTTCATTTATAGAGTGGTTCTGCATCGAATTTTAATTTTACTAGAGTTGGTTTTTAAAGCTACTTAACTTAATATATATTTGATATGTATAAAATATTAAATGTATTAATAGAAACCATTTTTCGGATAATAATGTAATAGCGATTACGCCGTGGAAAGGAAGTGCGTAAAAAGTACTACTGGTTATATGTTTATTACGAGTAAACCCCCTGTATGTGCCAAGGAAATACTGCAAAAACTATATATAAACAAATGGAAGAAGAGCTGATGGCAAAGCGGTTTGTATTAAATGAAATTTTTTTATATTCGCTACTTTATAAAAGATAATAGACAAGCTGCCGTAAAATATGTCGCGGCTAGACATTATAAAAGGACCAAACATATTGATGATGTCGTGTTCGTATTAAACTGAAAAGTTATACTTATGTTTTTAAACAACATTTATGAAGGAATAATACAATCTTTGCTTACCAACTGGGTCCCTACCAAACTTAAACCTAACCTTAACCCTGATCTTAACCCTAATTCTCTATTATGAAGACTTTTACCACGAGATTTTCCATTCTGCTATGTATTACATGTTGTGCCTTACCACGTAGTTTTAAAATTATTAAAAAATCTAGCTTAAGGCTTTTTAAAAAGCTTTTAAAAGTTTTTCAAAATATTTACTTTTACTTTCATTATTTTATTATTCCTTTGCTTAAATATTACGTGTTTTCATCACCTCGCAAATGATAAGAACAAATAATTCTAAACTTATGTGTAGCGCCATAGCTCAGAAGTTTCCCTATATTTGTATTAAATAACGGGGGGCAATAACGGTGAGACGCTACTAAAAAATTACGTTGGGTGTTAGATTCAATTACTTTACATTTTTGCCTAAGAGAATTTTTTTTTATTTTCTGTCACAACTACTTGCTTTTTTTTTATAAAACAAGTATAAATACATTTAAAGTATCAGTCCGATTTTTTAATTTAATGAAAGAATTGTTTGGTAGAGAAGATACTTTGTTGTAGCTAAGAATAATATCTCTATCTATTCATATGTTTTTAACTATCTTTATTTTTAATGCTTAAACAGTAATAAGGATTTGTTTCTTTAAAAAGTAAACAACTCGTTTCGGTACTTGAACAATAATAAAAATTTTACTAGGTTAAATATATTTAATCTATATATCATAGATAAATAAATAATAGAAGATATTTCGTCGTAGTATATAAACAATTTTTTTTACATAATTAAGCAACTTTCCTTGACTTTCTGTACCTTTTCAGTTTTTAAACATGAATTATGCACTTCCGTTATATATTGCAACTCTACTACTTAAACCATTTTCGACCGGCTGTTTGAAAAGAAAATCAGAAGGCATTATGTAAGTAAACCTACTTTAAAAAATTATTGAAATCGAACTAATAAAAAGGGATTGCTTCCTTTGATAACTCTAGCTTTTAGAGCATATTCTGGTTTACTAAAAGTTTCTATTTAAGTTGTAGAGATTAAAAGTTTGCATGTGTATATTTCAGAAAAATAAACTGTAGGTTTTTAAAAAATATTACATTACCATTTACTTAAAGTAGTTTTTAGATTGTTAAATAAAATTAATAGGGATCTATCTGGATTTTGCTTGGATTCTTTTCCTCCCAATTATAATTTTGTAACAGAATTGTAAGCCTATTTAGGGGTTAAATTCCTCATTTGAATACTTACTTCCATAATTTACCCAAACAGGATTCTTACCAATAACAAGATCAAGAAACTCGACGAATACATGTTAAATATGTTAACAGCATTAACAACTTTGTATTAATAACTGTTTATATGACTTTCTGCTTAAAGCATTATTTATAACAAATACTGAATGCTCATAAACTAATATAAGTAAAGAGCAAAGGCTCATTAGCAAAAAAAAACATTCATTTACTTAAACTAAATACCCCTGTTTGCTTGTAGACATTTTGACATAAATGAGATTGAATCTATTGATGAAGGCACATTTTCACAACTCACAAATTTAAAAAGTTTGTAAGTGTTAAACTACTATTCCCTCTCTGAGAATAAATATTATGTATGAAGTGAAATATATATATCCTTATTGGCCTATATTAACTGTAAAAGTTTTAAAGCTTCCAAAAGATATTAAATAAACTTTAGGCCTTCTGACTACCATAATTATTCAAAGAACCTTGTATAATACACTTATATAATATTTAAGATGGCTACAGAATAATTTGGTCACTATGATTAAAGGTTTCACTTTTGAAGGTCTTGAAAACCTACAAGAACTGTAATTCATAAATACCTTACATAAATTATATATAATTGGTAAAAATATTTGTATTCATTGGATAATTAAACGTACTCTTGACTAGACTTAAATAAAGTTATAGAATTCTATAAAGATTATATATTTTAAAAATAAACATAAGTATAATATATTAGAGATATAATAATTACTTTTGGCTCAGACACCTCAACCGCAACAAAATATACTCGTTAAGGGGCGGTCCTTTTACAATGCTCAAGTCTCTGAAAATATTGTACTTTTAACTTTATTTTTCTCATAATTTTTAAAGGAAGTTAATTATTAACTGCATAAAATTTAAATTTGCTTCCTTAAACTATTTAATTGCTGCTATTAAATGTATTTAACAAAAAATTCTTACTTTTTTGTTGTAAGGCGTTTAGACCACAACGCGATTGAGTACATAAACAACAACGTGTTTGAAGGCCTCAAAAACTTACAATACTTGTAAGTTATCAAAAGAATTTTCTTATATTATTAAGATAATCAAGAACATAATAACATGCCTATGCTAAAAGGAAATTTTTTTTAATATTTACAAATTATATTATTTTAAAATTACCATAGCTTAAGGCCTATAAAAAACTACGAACAGATTTCCACTAATAAAAAATAAAGTAGAGCTTCTCTACCATTTTCATTGCTAGCTTTACGAAATTAAATTAAGGGCCTTAAAGGCTAAAGATAGGAACTACTAAAAGTATGAAGCAGGAAAAGAGGTTAATTAAAGTGCAAAAAAAAGTCCGAAAAATAGAAAATAATTAAAGTAGCAAAAACAAAAGTACAATATCCTTTTTATATTAGTAATAAATTCAGTCTTGCTATTTCCAATAAGTTTATTTATCGGTACGAATTAGATAAGATTGGTTTAGTAAAACGCAGAAGTGTATAGAAGAGAATGCAGTATTGGACGCCCTTTAACTTCATCGTTAAAAGTAAAAATAAAGCAATCAATACCTTCCTTTAAAAACACTAACTTAAAAAAGGTTTTCATTTACTTTTTAGCTCATTTCAAGGGTTATTAAATAACGAGAATAAATATATTAATCATCTGGGCCGTTAAATAACAGTTGAAGCAATTAAATTCCTTAAGTTCGCATTAAATGCCTTTTCAGTTTATTCAAGCTTCAAAAACCATTAATAAAAGGATCCAGACCTATGTAACACTGCTGTTATCATTATGCCAATTACTCCAATTTTTGTCACTAACAAGGATCAAGAGCTTTACTACATAAATTTTTTAGCTTAGTTTCTCTTTTATGCACCCAACAAAAACTAAATATCGGGGTGGGGAGGTGTTTACTTTTAAGTTTTAGTAGTTATAATTAGAAGCTGCTAGGTCGATTTATTAAACATAAACCTATGGTTTACAACCCTAACTTAATTAAAAAAAAAAAAAATTAAGATCTTACACTAATGTTCGTAGAAGTTGTGTATTATTTATTTTAAAAAGTAAATGCTTGACTCCCTAATATCGGGCTTAGAACTCTCAATAATAACCAGATTACAGAAATTCCACCAGAATCTTTTTCTGATTTAACAGCTTTAACGACCTTGTAAGCTGCTATCTTCTACATAAAATCTACATTTTTCTATTAGCAATACTATTTTTAAAATAATATTTATTGTAGATATCTCAGTCACAATAAGATCAGATTAATTGTGCCAAATTTATTTTCTGTTATGACTGCTCTACAAGCCTTGTAAGTTGTTTAATAATAATGTTTTCCTGTGGATTAAAAACTCTATAACATATTATAAATACAATAAAGAGACCTTAAAAATAATACTATAACCGAGATTGGACGCAAGGCCTTTAGTAGAAATTTTAACTTCGAAAATTTGTAACTGTGTTTTCTACAAAGTAAATTCTTTCCAATAATATAAAAATACTTTTTACTTAAATAGAGCAGTGACGCTCGACCAAACGTTCCAGTGTTGCGCCCGTTTAGAATATCGCGATAAAGTTGAAGTTTCTGCTGAGAATTGCTCCTACGCCGGCAAATATGAAAAATACGAAGTTTTTACTTTTACTTTACAACACTTTTGCCCTCAGTAATAAATATTTTCAAAATACAACTTAACTTTTGTATTAAAGTTATAAAATTTGAAATTATATCTTCGTACACTGTCGTTCAAAATAGCTTCAACGTTTGCATTTATTCAATTATTATAGAATAACATTTCAATACTTCAAAAATTATACTCAGTAAAATTCAATGTTCCAGCTCAAATTGGTTAATACGTTATCTTAAATTGATTTAATATTCGAAAAGATTTTAGCTTGTAAGTTGAAAGACTTGGTCAGATTTTGTACAGCACTCGGGATCCATGACCGCCCGATAGTGCAGTGTGACATGGGGCATATCCTGTTGAAAAACCATTTCCTTAAGAACAAAGCCATACCAATTGAATGGTCGGGGTAGGTCATTCTTAATAAATTACGTGCTCTAGGTGATGCTCCCGGTCACTTTTTTCATATAACTGATCTCCTTAAATGTTATACAAGTGCAAATCATAATCGTTCCTCCTTTATATTTATATGTTTGTACCATCTGGTGATTAAGTATTCGATTTATCGCCAGATCGCTTCCAACACCACTTAACATCATCCGAACCATATCGACTGATCTTGGTCTGCTTGTGACTATGTCAGAGCTGGTTTAAATAACTTTTTATTTCGCATGAAGAGCAGCAGAATGCAATGCCCCTGATACGCTCTATCTTGAATCTGGTCTATCTAATGTTGTTTCCATGATTTTGTAGCTTTCTGTGCAACTTTAATTGCACCCGACGTCACTTGGCGTAGAAGTCGAGCTACATCCCGGTTTTCAAGATCTTTAGATGCCTAGATTCATTGCAAGGACGTTTGGATCATATTGAGCTGAGATATTTTTTGGTTTTACTGACACAACATTCACGAGCGATCTCCAAGGCTTACCTTGATCTAAAAGCATTTTACATAATATACTTTATCGACTGAAAGTTTACGCACTATTAAATTAAGGTCTCTAAATAAGCTATCCTTTATAGTCAATGAAAAAAAAGCTTAAAGAAAACCCCCCATGATGGAGTGATCATGAAAATTTCGTATAAAGCTCGAAACAATTTTACACAAATTTGTAAAGCTCTAAAGTTTTAAGTAAGAAAGCAATTTCTCTAATTAATACAAACTATATTAAATTGATCTTAATTTAAACTGATATATATTTAAGGTATCAATATATCCAATTATTATTTAAAGCGTTACAGAATTTAACGAAAAAATTTGAAACATAGAAACAGTTTTGAACGATAGTGTAAACACTTATTTGACTATTTTCGTAATAATGTTTAACTTTTAAATTACCAAAGTAAAGCGATGATATATCTGCCAAAAATTATTAATTAAGTATTAAGTACTAAAGTAAAACGATAATGTATCTGCTAATATCAAAGGGTTTTTAGGCATTTTATTATATACATTTATTTAAAAAATGACTAGTTAGAGAAAAACTTTTACGTGCATAACAAAGTGCCCACTGTTTTCGGGCTTTTCCCATTTGTTGCGCTGTTATGCTGCCTTCCAAGCGACTTCATAGCTATTTGTAAGTAATCGATAGTTCTCTCAACTTTCGACTACTATTAAATAAATTAAATTATAGTCTATAATTTTCTATATCCATTTAATAATATTGTATTACAGTAATGTTTATAGTATACCTAGTTTTTAAGATTTTGGACCTGTACAGTCAACTTCATTCAAAACAATTTATAGGTAAAATAAGTAGAATATGCTAGTTTTTGATAAATATAAAAAGTTAATTTTACTCATACAAAGGCTTAAAAGTGGAGTATACCTTTCAAAACATTTTACAGATGTCATTGTTTTTAACCTTTAAAAAGTTATTGCACCATTTAATCTCTCCTAGCCTAAACTTGAAAGGCTACTATCCAATTTGTCTTCTTCTTAAGCCAGATATTTTCTTTAATAAATTTACGAACCAAATTAAATACGAATTAGCCTTCGGGCTACTGTAACGAAAGCCAAAAAAGTTAAGTTTCTTTGTTCGTAGTTTATAGTGAAAATCCATAAATAAAAAGACACATTTTTTTCGGTGTACCCCTTAACCTTTGTTATTAAAATATTGCTATGTAAGTAACTTTAGTACTAGCTCTTTAACCCTTTTAACCTTTTAGCCTATTTTTTAAAAATCTACGTAAGTTACGTACAAAAAGTAATTATATATGTAAGCTCCTTAAGTTAATCTTTTTTTAATATCTTAAGTACCGTTTGAGTAATTATACAGTAAGACAGGGATTTACAACTTAGTTATTAGATTTGATAAATTATAAACAAAAGATAATTTAAGTGACACAAGTAGTATACCATAGAGTATAAGATAATATAATATAGTTAAGTTTATTTTAACTTGAAAGTAAGTTGCCCGTTACGTGCGATCAATTTTAGTTAGGACGTAAAATTCTTGGGTGCTCACTTTTATTAAATCTAAAAACCTATAGCTTAACACTTGCAGAAGAGTACGTCTAATACTTTATGTTTCATAAGTATTTAGTCAGATTAGCTAAATAGGTTCACCGCGTGGTGCAGGGAAAGCGAGTAGCTATATTGCCTGTTAAATGTAAGTGTTAATCTAGATTCTCTCCAAAGTAAAATTTTTAAATTAATAGTTATCACTATGCCTTGTAAGAAAGATTATAGGCTAAAGATTACTTCTTTGTACATTTGTTCATCTAGTTCTTCTGTCTCTTAATTAAAACTTAAAAGTATAATAAAAGTTTTTGTCAGTGTAAATAAACTTTTTTTTTCTGTAAAAAAATAGTGTTATTTCTTAAAAACCTTTAAAAGATAATTAAGAACAGAAGTCTTTCCAGCCTTAAACTCTGTATACTTGAATTCTCTTTTTAACCGAAAAGCACTCTGAAAAAGAAAGAAGGCAAGTTGTTATATATTTTAACTTATAAGCATCGTTCACTTCGTAGTTTTTAGTAACGGTTCAAGTTTTCCAATTTTAAATTCTTCTCACAGTGATTTATAATGTAGTATATCTTAAATATGCACCTCCTCTACTACGCCAGTAAATTTTTATTAGATTGTTAATAAAATAGTACTTAGCTTAAGCTCTTTCACATTATTTTTTTTTTCACCTAAGCTTTTTTTTTTATTTTATTTTTTTTTAGAAAAACTGTATTGAAGGGATGACAATTTATACTTATCTTTATGGCTGCAAATTTAAATACCTTTTTTATTTACACGCAAATTTAGTCAAAATACTCCTCTTCTTCCCAATTCCTCAAATCTAATTTAAGATACAGTCTAACAATCATGACTGCGCCCGGTATCCTTAGAGTTTTTCTTTAAAACCCACTTTTTGGCTTTTTTACCTTTCTTTGTAGCTGTTAGCCTCTGAGTACTACTGTCATGTCTTGCATAAGAGAGGATTTGATTGTTATTTAATAAAATGGACTCCTCCCTTCTGGAAGCCGGTTTATAAAGGGCACAAACTTTCGAAAAAACGTCTCCTATTAAAAAACGAGACTTTAAGACGAAGAGAGTCTGTAGAAAATTCTTCTATTATTAATAAAAATGCTAACCTTACTCTGCTCTCCAAATTCTTAACGAGCTTTGGAAAGAAGAAGCCTTGGAGGAGAGTGAAGGAAATGCTTTTATGATAAAAGGCATTAAAAAAAGAAATATAAACGACAATAATAACAACAACATTAATTATAGTAGTAGTAATACAGAAACCAAAGTAAATAGTAGTAGTAGTAAATTATTTAGTAATAACTCTTTTGCGAATAACCTTATTGACAGTATCAACCTTAATAGAAAAATTATTAGTAATATTACTAAAAACTCTATTTTAGATAATAGTAACAAAATACAGATATGTCTCATAAAGAGCACGAAAATAACTTTGATTTAGGGATAAACAATACTTCTATTGCCCGAGATACCTCTAGCGACTCCGAACCACCTTCCGCGGCTGCACACCCTCTTAGGCGAAATAATAAGATGCCGCCTTTAGTCCTTTGCGAAAAAAAAAGTGGAATCACTTCGTAAAACTTCTGCTAGATGACGAGGCCAACAACATTCCGAAATATAGGGATACCAGTCAAGGAATTAAAATATTTCCAGCAACGGAAAATGAGTATCGAGGCATCACTAAGCATCTTCGTAATGAAGCGCTACCTCATTTTACCTACCAACTACCAGATGAACAAGCCTTTAAAGTTTGTTCTTCGTGGAATCTATCGCCATATCGACGACCAAACCCTCGAGGGAGCCGCCCGCAAGGGTGCACACTGAGCACCTTATTGAGGGGTACACACTAAGCAACCTCTACCAATTATGTTAGTGTATATACCGGTGTGATCGAGAAAAGCTGTTGGAATTAAAGACGATTTTCTATCTTCTGGTTAGGGTGGAAGAGGTTTTGAAGAGTAATCGGGTTGGACATTGCCACCACTGTCAGGTATTTGGACACAGCGCAACTGTCTGCTCTTCAGCCCCCCGAGGCGTTAAGTATGGTTAGGGCCACTTGACTGCACAATGCACAAAAGCACGAGAAAGTCCTACAGTTGTGCTAATTGCAGTGATGCACATACTGCCAAATATCGTGGCTACAAATATTATCAGCGATGACCTAAACCATTCAATCAAACTGAGAGACATACTCTCCTCTAGGGAGTTGAAAGTGGTAATTTACACCCGGTTCGAAAGAACTACTCTTAAAGTTGATAAAAAGGCTCTCGTAGATGAAGTCCTCAGGCAGGTGTTATCTTCCCTGTATCTTAGGCCGCATGATATCGTCTCTTACCTGGGACTGGTTCCTTAGTGCTCATGGACTAGACACATGCAGCTCTATTAAATGACTTTATAGCAGAAAAATAACAATAAAAACACATATAGATAACATAGAAACTATTTTACTTTGTTGTGACTGCTTCGCGTTGAATACTAATTACCTTCCGAAGCAGTTTTAAACGTAATATGCTTGGGAAGAGCCTGTGAACTCTAAAGCA